CAGTAGCATTCAGATCTGTTGCTATGTTGAGAAGCAGAGCAGTCTCATACAAACATCAAACCATCTAGTGAAACAGAAATGCATGCCAAAGTTTGACCCTTATCTGTACTGCTTTCTATTCATTTCTTAATCTAGATACTTATATACATCTCCTGCTGCTCTCCTTAGTCAGTAGCTGCAATGACTATTGCTGTTGGCCAGGAACTGACATCATCAGGTGGAACCCAGTTTTCATTAGGTGTTACGGCCCTCATCCCCGACGCCCTCCTGCTGGCGTGTCATTAGTGATAGCTCCCTGCCGACAGCTGGACTCCCCTCTCCTCTTCTAGAGCCAGCATGAGGCTCTCTCAATTCAATTCAATTCAAGGTGCTTTATTAGCATGGCCGATGGGTACAATCAGTGTTGCCAAAGCAAATAAAAATAATAAAATTAACATGGAACAAAACAAAAAATAGAAGTAAAATAAAATCTACAGACATGTTACAGACATTTACAACAAGGACATATTATAAAATATTGACATATACTGTAGGCGGCTGGAGCATTATTGGGAGACAGACTCACTGTTCCTCAGGCTGTGACAGGAGATCACATACTGGGCTGCCAGATCAACTGGGTTCCCTCCTCCCTCTCCCAGTAGGATTGGGACCCATTGTGACTCTGGCAGGTGTGGGAACTCTGGGATTAGATTTCTGAATTTCGGGAAGAATGTTTCTCTAATCCCAGAGTATCTGTCACAGTGCAGTAGGAAGTGCACCTCTGTCTCTATTTCTCCCCGCTGGCAGTGGGAGCACAGCCTGTCCTCTCTGGGCAGCCAGGTCTCAGCTGCCTCTCCCAGCCTTCGGACTGCTGTCCTTCTGTCCCTGCCAGTCAGCTCTCTGCATGCTGACGGTGCAGGGAATCCTCTACATTCAGCCTCCCCGAAGAACGCCCATGTCTGCCACCCTTTCTCTCTGACGTCTTGTACCAGATCTTCGGATTTGGCCCCGACCTGCTTACCTCTTTCCTCCCACGGCACCATCAGCTCAACTGGGACGATCTCACTTCTGGGAACCACATCTGGCCTTATGTCTGTACAACGTCTGGAAACTTCCTCCAGGGTCCTCTCTTGTGGCCCACAATGGAGCTCTCCTCAGGACAGAATCTTTGATTGTGCCTGACAATGCTACTGCATGTGTAGATCCTCCATGAGCTTGCTGTTTCTTCTCTCTTTCTTTCCCCAAGATGTCCGTGAGTGTGGCCATATAATTCTTCGAATATCTACTGCCTGTATTTTGAAAATTCATCCTTCTTAAGAAAAAAGAAAAGATAAATATCCCATGCAATACAGTATGCTCTACATTCATTATGGCAAATCAGAGTTAAAAAATGATCATGGCAGCATGACAGAAATTCAGATCCAAACTATGTAACTAGAAGTCTGTCATAACAATGAAATATGGAAAAAAATATAAACAAAGAGGCCCGGGTTGGAGCTATCATACCCACAGGGATCTAAAAAGGGTATGCTGCAGAGAAAATGAGCTGTTCTGCAAAGAGACGGTCCTGACAGGGCCACATAACATCACATCGTCAGGCACGTCTCCATCACTCCAGGACCTAGACAACAGGCAGTCAGGACTTGGAAGCCCAAGGCAGCAGCTTCTGGGACAATCGCCACCACCACCACCACAGACCCTGACGTTCTGACCCTGGTCACAGCAACTTCATTCAGAACCCCTACCATCAAAGCACAGGAACAAAAGCCACAGTAAGGGATGCTGGAGACTCTATCCCAGGGATGCTGCTAGTGAGATCTGCTACACTCTCCTGTGTCCCTGCAGCTGAGGTGGCTATCTTAATCCCAAAGGTAGACAGACTGCTAGCAAGGGTATCTGAGACCTGGAGACCAAGACCTGTGTGCTGGCGCTCTTGGGGATAGAGCCAGATCTGAGCACAGATGAACAACTTTAAACCCTCACACGGGGCTGAAAGCGCAGGGCACAGCAGAAGGTTTTAAGCTTTCTCTACCACTGCAAATCTTTCCACAGCAAAGGTCTGTCAGCGCAGATGGGAGGGATTCAATCTGAACCAGAAGAGCACCGATCTGCTTGGGGCAAGGATAGACAGAGAAATTCAAAAACATTTCAAATAGAATGGAAGTTTGAAAAATTGGTAAGGGGGAAAAAAATCTGCAAGGGAGGCATGTGTTGAATTTACTGTTGAAGCCGATGCCCTGGCTTCTTTCAAAAAACAGCGGGATAACCTCCATGGATGAATTAATTAGATCAGCGAATGGGCTGTGTGGGTCAAATTGTCTCCTCTCATTTGTAGCCTTTCTTGTGACCTTATATACGCAAAAGGTGAACACAAAGGAAAAGCAGACTATCAGTGTTCCAGGCAATCTTGCATGTGTACCTAAACACCAGGAGTGTTAGAAACTAATTTAAAGAAATAATCACATGGTAATGCATTGGATCCTGTGGTGTAACTGGAATCACAAAGACCAATATGAGGAGCATTTTAAAGAGACAGGAAAGGTGAAAAGGGTGGAGATTTATAGTGGCACTATACATCAAAAAAACATTCAGGCACAAAACCTTCATCTAAATGAATCAAGTGTCTCATAATCTTCGTGGGCTAAATAAATAAAACATTCTGCTCTCGGTCATAGGTCGTAGAATACATATTAAGGATGATCAGGATTCATGGTGACCAATATGCAATGGACTGACAAACGATGCCTTTATTGACTCATTAACATTCTATTTCTTCTTGTACTCTTTATAAGAGTTAATGATAATTCATTTCTCTATCATAGTGACATCTTTTCTCTTAAAATTTCCCAATTCCTTTACATAACACATTTTCTGGTTTTCTGATATTGTCAGGTTTTTATTGCTGTCAAAAAGATAAGAGGCCACTGCACATTAGTGTAAGCGAATTCATAAATCCAGGATAATTACAGAATACGTCCTCATTGTCTGTACAGGATAAAAAGAACCTTGGCTTCTGGAGTTTACATGAATATGTAATTAGCACTGAATAGTTTGGCTGCTGCTCCATGGAATTCTCATAATTACATTATCTTTGTTTGTTTTTTGTATCAAGTATTATTGGGGTTTCCAGGTTCTCTCATTACTCCGTTTGAGTTCTTTGGAAGATGGAAACAGATATACTCTAGTGAATAGGCTAATGAACAAATCAGGACTCATCTCCCCTCTCTGTCTTCTCAAAGCTACAATAATCTGTGAAGCATAATATTACTAATAATTAAAGTTATGAAATCCACAAAACTCCATGCCAATTTTAGAACTCCATGCTGCAATTTGGGTGATGGGTAAAGGAGACAGTGCTTAAAGGCAAGAAATAAACATAAGGATGAAACAGTAGCACAAACTTCACTCTTTTTAATATGGCAAGATTTTATAAACGCATCTCTACATAAGATGCATGTACTGTAGTAAGATTACTACTGTAACAGTTACTAATACAAAGTAAGCCTACTGAGGTGGGCAAATAATTTTGGTGTGAATGTGTAACGCTGAAGAAAAGTAGGAAGATAGCCACTGTAGTGTGAATTGAGCAGGTTAAGGCTCCAAGCAAATAAAACAGACCTCTCAGCTGTAGAACAGTGCAACTCCATGAAGAAAATAATTTTCTCTAACACACGCAGGGGAAGAGAAATAACTCGTTACGACGGGATAAACAGCAAGGATCCAAAATCTGCAAAGTAAGGAGTTAAGACCTTTCCTCGGCAATAATGGCACAGGGTCAAAGGCAAGTGTGCACACTATGCTTTTTTATAACAAAACAGGCTGGAAACCCCAGCAACAAGTGCAGCACAATTTCACCACGTGTTCCCGATTTTCACTGTGCCGAAGATGCCGTTTTTAAACCCATCAATATAATCACAAATAATTGTAAAATATTCCAGAAATGTGTACCGTATGTATTCCAATTAGATTAAAACTATGGACAGTAAAAGCAATAAAACTGCAGCCATACCAGTTGATCAGTGATCTAGAGAAAGATTCCATTAAAACATTTTTCTAAAACATCCTATGCACTTATTACAGTATTCTCCAAACTGATACCCTATAATAATTATCACCGCCGACAATTACAGAGTGGCTCCTGGCTACTTCAGATACAACGGTACTTGAAATGACAAACAGTGTAAATAAACATGTACTGTACACCTCTATTGCTGATGAGGGAAAACAAATATTTCAACTGCTGCCCTTTGAAAAACCATGCAAGCGGGAATGATTTATTTTGGGAAAAGTAAAAGAACTTTAGTTAAACAGTGGCATCTAGTGTTTTGGTAGGTTCATTTCCATGGCAAAAACAAAAACATCCAGTACCTGTGTTGTGGTGGCAGCATGTTGTCTCAGTATTGGAAAATCTTATGTTGGCATGCCACAGATCATATTTTGGAACATTTCATTTTAAAGAAGAAAGGTCAGTCAGTCTTGAGGCTTGGATAGTATAGGTCACTGAAGGGGGAAAAAGTTCATGTCCTCCTACAAAAAGTCCACCTTTTCACACACAACTGAAGGATGAAGGATTTCCGGAATCAAGACGTTTGTGGGATAAGTGAACGGGAGTGAGGCCAGTGAAACAGCAACGATGCATTTTATTCTGAATATTATGTGAAATTTAAAAGCATTTGTTAAAGACTCTGCATGGCCACTGCGGTCCGGATAGCAAATAGCATCACTTAGAGGATGCTTCACATTTAAGAATGACTATGGTCACTTCACTATCACTTTCAGAATCTACAATATAAAGGATGAATTAGCTACTGAAATGTAACCTTTGGTATGGACCTCCAGGTTAAATGTAGTATGTTCAGGGTTTGAAACCGCTAGCGCCTGATCATACACAACTCACCCTTCATGTCCCTCTGATTTCTCACTTTCCGATAGGTCAGCCAGTGGACCAGTGGACCAGCTCCCCGCACGTCTCAGAAAAAAGCCTTGTTTTAATCGCAACAGAGAGGCATTTCAGAGTAACACTCACTCCCCATCAGCCCTAAGACTTTATTATGGATTGTAAACACAATCAAAATGCAACTTTTTACATCAGGAAGACAAAACACAGCTGCAACAACCTCGGAGTATGAAACTCAGATGTAGACCGCAGAGGCAAAAAAAAAACAAAAAAAAACCTGATGACCCTTTCAGAAAGAAGCCAAACATGTAATATAGGTTAATGTGATTTTAAACATGTCCCTCCGTCTTCTGCATGCTTCTCTTTCCTTTCCAATAACCCGCATGTTAGAAGCTAGTGATACACACTTTCCACTCCTTACCGGAGTCAAATCCAGCCATGAACTGGTGCGATACAGCAGGCAGAGCAGATTCTTGATTTAGAAACTAGACAGAATATGAATCTGAACCTCATCTATCTGAAAACTATTAGGAAGCATTACTACTGTGACGTTTTCCGATGGATACTGCGTCAAACGGTTGTTGGTTCCCAGTTGTCAAGTAAGTGCTTCGCTCTCGTCTCCCGTGCCGCAGAGCTCAGATGGCTTCAGTCTCGTGGCGAGCCAGGGCAGGGGGCAGAGTGGCTCCACAGGGACCCTGGAAGTGGAACCTGCAACACAAAATTCAGAAGCAACACCCTCAAACACCGAAGTGCCACAGCTAGTCTGCGTTAGCGGTGAAGCTGTAGGGGGTTTCCGTACCGGGCAGTACACTCAGCAAAGAGCCCACACCTGCTGAACGTACTGTAACAATGGGCGTGCCTGTGTCGATACCAGCAGGTGGCAATACTGAAAAGTGATCACTGTTTTTCCTTTAATAATAATAATGTAATGTTTCTTTATTAGCCCTATACATTTCTTGCATTAGGAATTCATCTTTTCACATACCCCAGCTTTTCTCCATGGAGACACAGACACAGAGACAGGGAGAGAAGCTTGGGGTCAGAGCGCAGGGTCAGCCATTGTACGGCGCCCCTGGAGCAGTTGGGGTGAAGGGCCTTGCTCAGGGGCCCAACGGAGTAGGATTCCTCTGCCGGCCGCGGGATTTGAACCGGCAACCTTCCAGTCACAGGCGCAGATCCTGAGCCACAGAGCCACCATTCCGCCCCTTTAAGCTTTTTGACATCTTCAAACAGCCTGGATTCTTGAACATATTTCTCCCCAAAACAAACACACATATGCAAGCCACGCATAAACAGGCCTTTGTAGTTTAAACCTCCACATGTTAAAGCTCTATGTTATTAGATGAGGGAAAAATGACACTGCACTGAACATGTGAGCTGTAAACATGGAGATCTATAGAATTCATCAACCATTTCTTTTGTTGCAAAACCACACAAAATAAAAAATGCAATTGCATAGAAACTATGTGCTCTGTCAACAGTACTTGTCAGCTGTACTCTGCATTGAAGAAAACAACTTTTTTCAGTGTGTTTATAGTTTTTCAGCATTTAAAACTACACTTCCACTAGCGATAGCTGTTAAAGCATTACGGAAATAATTCACTTTGCATTCAGAAATAAACACAAACAACCAGTTTCAAAGAAGTAAGTGTCCCTATGATTTCTAAAATTGCAATTACCTTCTTTTAGGTGCCTAGTTCCTTGTTTCTTTTATGTGATTGAAGTGAAATTCAAGTAATGGGAGAAAGAACTCATGTCCCCTGTAGTGCCAGAAAGCATATCCCTGCATACTCGATCGTGTGAGATGCTCAGATGGCTCCAGACTTCAGCACACAGCTTTATTCCTGAAACGGGTTAAGAGCTCAGCAGGTCTGACCATCGCAAGGCCCTGGCACCTGTTAAGGAAGTACAGTAAACACCGAGCGTAATGCTGGCTTGGATGACACTCGCTGCTCGGTATCACTGCGCACTTGGGCTACTTGGTCAGTAGAACTGGTGGGTCTTCTTTTCCAACTTGCTTCCTTTTGCTCTTTCGCGATTTTCGGACTTACGTGAACTGGGTGGTGGCGGGGGTGGTTGCGGTGTTGAACTCGGCCACGGGGACCCCCCTAGCAGCAACCTGGGGGGCAAACATGGCCGCAGGGTAGACGATCGACGAGGTGCCAACCTACGAGGGGAGGACGAGAGGGGCTGATTGAACGAGCAAGGCAGAGACAAGAACCTGTCCATGTGCTCAAACACTGCTTCAGGGCTGCCCGACGGAAAAGTGATTTCACAGTTACTGCAGTAGAAGAGCGCTGACTGTTGAAATCTTTGAGTCCCCTGATCCTCTAAGACACAGTGCTGGTAAGAGACAGTTACATCTCAATGCAATGCAGGGGAGGCATAAAGTCCACAGCCATGATACACAAAGAGAACACCGTCCAGTAACCTGGTCGTAAAAAATGATACTAACAATGGATTGCATGGTTATTTACTGAAGTCAGAAGTTTGTCGTTTAGAAATCCTTCCATGGCTACTCTTGCGTTAACAGCTGCTTGTTGTGCACTTACAGAGCACGGCCTTAACCCCGTGTCTTGTGAGCAAGCGATTGTCAGTCACGTTTAGGCGTGCATCATGCCTTAATATCAAAGGGGAGAAGCAAGCTATTCCATGAAATAAGGATTTGGGATGTTTTGCTTTAAATAGAAAATGTTACCCCCTTTATTCTACTTGGAACAAGCGGCTCTTCAGTGGGATCTCAGGAGAAACTATGGTATTGTGTGCCTAACAAAATGTAAACATCCTACGCCGAGATAATTATTTTCGTCTCTCTCACCTTCTAGCAAATTTTCATTAGATCAAATTAAATTAAGAAAAAGCCCTATCTTAACTAAAGCCCAATGTCTTTTTAAAAAAAAAAACAACAACTCTTAACAATATCTGCATACAGGCAAAAAAAAAATCCATCCAAAGAAAAAAAGCCCCTAAAGGAGCACAGAATGTTTTGTGTCGAGTTACTCGGTAAGGCTGGGTGACAACCGAAACAGAAAGGGGCTCATTTACAGCCGCGGCAGTCCGAACCCCTGCGGCAGCTGCTCAGACCACTGCCCGGGCAGAGGGAAAACGCCGGAGTACTCGACGCCAAGATGTCACGCGTGTCTGCATGGCTGTTTTTCCCGTTTGTTCTTTTTTCCCGTCCTCACATTACGTGTCGATCAAGACGGGGGAAAGATGCTCGAAGCCCATACGCAGCGCAGAATGTGAAGCTCCACCCCCTGCCTCTCCAGATTTCCCAGAGACCCGCACACTGGATTGCTACGAGTTTTCCAGTTCGTGTGACGGTTATTACTTCACTTGGTAATAGCGACTGTGATTCGGTAAGAGAAAAACAGTACTCATCTCTACGGTCAAGTTAAAATAGTGCTGTTGGGGTCACATGAGCAGTGTCACTGCTGGGATTTGGATCTTTATCTTTGTTGGACTCGGGTCACTGCCTTCACAATACAATGCACTACGTAACACAATGGGTATTGACAGTGCATTCATTCCATTTCCTCTTTCCAGTTAATTTGGATTAAGCCCATCATTAATACAATTATTATGCAGAAATTGAAAGCAAAATACCCTTGCTTATGAGACCAAATCATTATATTTTAATGAAAACTGCACAAAATAAAATTGATTTTCAACAACATTATCTTTCCATTGGCAGAATCCTGATATAATAGGATGAATGGGTAAATACTACCCAACTACACAGCAGGATGAAAGCTTCTCTAGAAATAAAGACAGAAATGTCTTTCTGTATAAGCCTGGCCAGTGAGGTAATGGACACATCACAGAACTGTCTCAAAAACAGATGTTTTAAGAAACAAAAATAATCAGTCACATCTTTCTAAGCCTAATATCTAGGAAGATATGTACCACCAGTGTTAAGGGGATTACAGCTGGCCTCTTCAGTATGTTAATGCTGTATGTCCTGAAGCACTGATTTAGAGCTGTTCAATAGCTGTCCAAGAGCAGCTATCAATGAGCAGATCTCATGAATAAAACCTAATTCAGCCTGACGTGAATGCCATTGGGTTTCCCCTGCAAAACACAAAATGGCAAAATCTAAAAAGCTCAGAACAAGCAGCACACCACTCAAGACAAAAAACGCACACAAAATATTTGCAAGTACTAGAAAACGTAATATCATATTGTGTTCATCATTGGAGGGGCTGTGCACCACACAAATAAGATACGAGCTCTTACAGTTATCTCTTTTGCTTATGTGCGCATTGATCGAAAAAAGGTTTGTCCACATCTCTTTACTTACCACCAAACAAAGGTCACAGATTTCTAGTTCTTTTTCGACCTGCGTTAAGATGTCGGAATCCAGGGTTTCTCCGAACCACACCACATGCGGGCGAAGGAGTCCGTTACAGCCGTGCTCCACACACCTGCAGACCAGAGAGTGCCAAGCGAGTGAAACAGGAGCTGGCTTGAAAAACTTCACCGCAGAACTCAGCCTCAAGCTGAACCGGACTACCTCTCTAAAGCTCAAGAGACATCAGGACAATCACAAAGAACGGATTGTGTGTGGCCAACCAACCCAGGCAAAGAACTGAAATAGTAACAGCAGGGATGAATGTTAATGAAATCAACATAAAAAAAACAGACAAAAATGCAGATTTGTTTCCGTCTCGCAATGGAAATTGCTTTACAGGTACATAGACTGATTCAAAGACCCCTATGTCAAGCCAACAGTCTGTTAATAACCCCCAGCTCTTAACAAAAATACTGCATTGAACCTAAAACATAGTGGGAAGGTTCTGCAAAACCAGGATAGAGCAGACACTGCACAATCACAGCAACACCCAAACTCACCAGTGCTGTCGGCGGTTGGAACAGCATTTTGCACTTGTTTTTTAAAATATATTTCAACTTTGTCCTTTTAATTGCTTATACAAAGTAAACTTTGAACCCAACAAATTGAGGCAGCGGCTGGAAAATAATCCATTGTCCCTTTCCTTCAAAAACCGGTCATTATCCACTGGTAAGGAGGAGAGAAGTCAAAACATAAGATGCAGAAAGAACTGGCATCATCCATTCTGTGTAGTTTCCTAATTGCAAACATAAAATATCAGCTTGGCTAACAATAGGTAAGTGCACAGAATTATTATTGGTATTACTGCATTCCTTGTTTTGATACCAGGGTATTTTCGTAGAAACAAGGTTGAGTAAGACTATACCAATATCCCATTCTGTTGCTGCCATCTTGTGGCAGAACCATATTCACACTACTGCCAAACACATCACATACCGTATTCCGAAACATACTTATATAGGAGTTATCCATCTGGAGGATTTCACTTCATGCACCACTGGACTGCAGCACCATTATCTTGAGTGATGTGAGGCAGCTACTCCGAATCAGGTGGAGGAGAGAGAAACTTCTTCACCTGCTCCATTAAGGGGGACTTTTATAAAGGCCTAACGGTACAAACCTTTGCCCTGGATTAACACCCCTAGTCTTACAAATGATGCCCGGGAATTTTGTTTTACTGAAAAGACCTGGGTTCAGTTTCCCAAATGTGGAACAGGGCCTTCTACAGCAAGCATAGTGTCTCCACGTCACCAAATTGTTTGCAAATCTGGGTATACAGGCAAGAGCGCCACCTACTGGTTTTCTCAAATGCTGTCTGTTACATTTCTTGTTTGGCACTTAACATGTGAGAAACAGCCATTAAAAAAAACTTACAACAATTACTGGTTTTGCAAAATTATTGCATTATATAAAAATATTTTCACTGAAATTTGAACACAACAGATCCCTAAGGGAATAAATTCCCTCTTCTTTATCACCCTTAAAATTGAATATTGATATCTATTAATATAAAGTTTACAAACTACATCGAGTTATTTCATGGTCATTATACCAGGTCTGAGTTTGTATGAATAAAAAATCCATTGTACATAATTTTATTAGATCTATATGAACAAATTCAGCGCAATATTTACATTACTCAGGCACTCAGAAAAATGGTAATTAAAGATAACAAAAAGTAATCTGTTAAATCCCACCTTGGTAAGTCTTCAACTGGTATCTTAGCATCTGTTGTATCTGGGTCTGGAGCACTGTAAAAAAAGAGAAAGAATTCAAAAACCATATATTACAGGAGCATCAGATACATTTCTGATGCAGGAAATTCTGAAAACAAAACTTACTGGCACTCCACTTGAAAAAAAATCAATCTATATGAGGGATCAATCCATCGCAAATATCACATTTTAACATTCTGTGAAAGCTTAGCTTAGAAAGAATCAATCACTGATCCGTCCATTTCAAACCACAATAAAAGTAAAATGTACACAGTAACTTGTAAAAACTCCAATGTACATCACAAAATAAGACAAAAAGCAAAAAAGAAATTTCCAGTTCTGAGATTCAGACCATGGCAACAAGACCTCCGGTGACGTGATCCAGCCCTATTACACTGTGAAGCAGCAGGCTTGTGAATGTCTCCTTTCATCCGATAGAAATATTGTTCTTGACTTAGAGAGGGTTTTGCTGACCAACACTACTTAGTTTTCTCTGCATGCAGATCAGGTTGGAACAATTTCTGCAGTGAAATGTCTGCTGCTCAACCTGTACTCATTCGCTCGTACATCACATTACATTACTCATTACAGAGACTGGCGAGCGTGACGGGGCCACCTCCTGTCGGAATTTTTAGGAACTCCTGCTCTCGCCCGTGACGAGACCAGTGGTTTGAAACAACTTGGCGACTTAGAATGTTTTCACAAAGGTCACGATTTTGTGCTTACTGCGAAATTTGCAAACTACTGGTTTAATAACTGGTCTGAGAAACTGGAACAGCAGTTCCCCTTTAATTATTCATACTGCTGCAAAATAATGTTTTACCATATATTTTTTTCTAAAAAGGTACATCATTCTGCTGTCTAAAAATCATATTTGAAGAAAAGAAAGGGGAAAACGGCCAATTCTAATGGAAAAGTCTGACTTCTGGTTACTTTTACTGATTTCTCTTGAGGCTGTACATGTGCTGTAGTACATCAGTTGCACTTCCCCAAAACCCTCCTACAGGAAACAGAACAATCATCACTCATCACTGCAACCTGGAAAATGCCTATATCGGCCAGCAGAGGGAGCCCACCTCACACTTCATGATAACTGGACACAGAAGCAAATTTCTTACCCTTTCCCTTCCAAGGCAGGGCATATTGGACTGCTGTGATTCTCTGCTACATTCCCACAATTGATGCACCTGGTTTTGAACAAACTTCCTAAAAATAAAGGCATGATGAGACATTTATCTTTCCTGTCATTTGTGAACGAGAAAAAAATACTGCATGTTAAAATTAAATATCGAGGCTTTTTCAGTCCTGATAGAATCTCACTAGAAACAGAAAAGCACAGAACAGTGATGTCTAAAACCACGTAAAAGAGCTTCATGCTTCATACATATCAGCACATGAATGAAGGATCATATATTATTACATATACAGTTGCAAGAAAGTTTGTGAACCCTTTGGAATTGCCTGGATTTCTGCATTAATTACTCATAAAAATGTGGTCTGGTCTTCAACCAAGCCACAATAATAAACAAACACAATCTGCTTAAACAAATAACACACAAACAATTGTACTTCTTCTTGTCAATAGTGAACACATTGTTTAAACATTCACAGTCCAGGCTGGAAAAAGTACGTGAACCTCTAGGCTAATGACTTCTCCATAGCTAATTGGAGTCGGGTGTTCCAATCAATGAGATGAGATGAGACTGGAGGTGTGGGTTGGAGGTGCCCTGCCCTATAAAAAGGCACACAAAGGGTGGTTACTGACAGAGTCTGCTCTTCTCAAGAAAGAGCTGTTCCTGTGAACCACGGCCCGGTCAGCCGTGATCGGAGGACCTTAGAGGAAGAATTGGAGAGATGCATACAGCTGGAAAAGGCTACAAAAGCATTTTGTACATGCAAAATCACACATTAAGTCACCTCCCTTTTTAGATTTCACAAGGTCTCCTTTCATCATATTCATAAATTTCATTATATTAATAAATTAATCAAATGTTTAAATGGTGTTGATAATTAATATACACAATTTCACAAAGATGTGCTTCATCTGTAGTCTTCAATGCTCATAAAACACATATTGTGAAGAAATTGAATGTTTTTTCCCAGTTTAAATTATTTTATTCACTTAAATTCAAAGTATTTTATTAACTTCAAAGTATTTTATTAACTTCAAAGTGTTTCAGTCAACTTAAATTTTAATTATGAATTGTTTTGTTTGAGAATACTCGCGATATGAAAAATAACTTCCATTTAGTCAGCAACCCAGGGACATGACCATTTCTAATATTACTTATGTTTTTACCATTTTTAATATTACTTAACAACCTAGCTAAGCAACTGAATATCACAGCAAACCAGTGACACTACCATTGTGTTATACAACATTTTTTACCATTCTCAAAATTACTCATCTTTCAGTATTGTGTATAACTTCAGTGGGACCCCTCTTACAGTGTGTGTAAAGCGCTGTGCAATCTTTTGGGGTGAGAAGCGCTACGGAAATGCGAGACCCTCAGATGCAGTGCTTGCTATTAACGTATCTGCTGCGAAACCAAAATTCTGCTCCATTTCGTATTCAGTGTACTTCGTGACATATCGAAACAGTAATAAAGAAATAAATAATAATATATGGCCATCCTGGCCAAATTTCCCCATCGGCCTTTATCAATCATGGCCTCCTAACAATCCCCCTCTGTGAACTGGCTTCCTTACTCTGCTCTCCTCCCCACTGAGAGCTGATGTGTGGGGAGCGTTCTGGTGCACTATGGCTCCTGTCGCATCATCCAGGTGGGGCTGCACACTGGTGGTGGTGGAGGGGAGACCCCATTACCTGTAAAGTGCTTTGAGTGGAGTGTCCAGAAAAGCGCTATATAAGTGTAAGCAATTATAATTATTATTATATATACTCATTAATTCTACTACTAATTCTAAAATTTCATGCATTCACTGCACAACTGCTTACAGAAGATTTAAAACGATGAGACACTAGCATGTATCGGGGGGCACAGGTCATTGCACTGTGACATCACTGCCCAGTGGCGAGGGGCAGGGCCCTTTGGCCTAGCGCCT